ATTTCAATTGCCTCTTTTATATTTTGTCTTCACTTCAATGACAATTTCTTGCCGTAAGAAACAAACGTGTAACACCAACTTTGAATCTCTACAGCAACCGTTATCGATGTGACCAGAACTCAAGGAAATGATTAATTAAAAAAAGTATACTTTATCACTCAATTGTATTCGCTCTTTTCTTCACACACACGAGCACACATATATATATATATATATATATATATATATATATATATATATATATATATTGATCGATTTTCGTCTCATCAGCTCTATTAAACTTACTCCTGACTCATCTCCGAAATTCAGAAAGTTGCATTTCTTTCAAAACTGTTACAGTTTGGAATACATTTTTTTTTAATTTCAAGTGCATAATATGCATTTGTAATACGAGGGTCATTCAATAAATAAGCTGAATTTTTCGGTATAAGGACTTCTAATACAGATAGAAGCTTACTTTTTTAATTTTTTTTTTTTTTTTGTTTTACTTCTTTTTCACATGGATTTAATTTCTTTTGCAGATTAAAAAAAAACTTTGAGAGTTTTGGCGATTAACAAAGATGGCCGACCAAGAAGAATGCTCCAGGATTGAACAGCGATCAGTTATCAAGGTTTTGCTTGCTGAAGGGTGCAAACCAGTTGAAATTCATAGGAGAATGTCAACTGTGTATGGTGCCACATGTTTCAGCCAAAAAAATGCCTACAATTGGGCTAAATTGTTTAAAGAAGGACGGAGCAGTGTTGAGGATGAAGACAGGCCTGGGAGGCCTACAGAAGTGAGGTCTCCTGGGGTGATTGAATCAGTCAATGACCTCATTCAGTCTGACAGAAGAACTACTGTGAACTGCTGAGGCAGGTCAAGAAAGACAAAGAACAAACGCAGGGGTCATCAGTCAGGAGTCATCTTGCATCATGACAATGCAAGGCCTCACACAGCAGCCCAAATGGTGCAGACCATCAACAAGCTGAGCTGGGAACTGCTCCCTCATCCCCCCTACAGCCCAGACCTTGCCCCCCTTCAGACTTTCACCTGTTTGGTCCCTTGAAAGTGTTCATGAGAGGCACAAAGTTTAAAAAGTGACGATGAAGTCAAAAGTGTTGTGAGCGGCTGGCTGAGACATCAGTCCAAGGGTTTTTTACGCTAAGGGAATACGGAAGCTTGTGCACAGATGGGAAAAGTGTGTGACAGTACTGGGAGACTACGTTGAAAAATAACAAAAAAGTAAGCTTCTATCTGTATTAGAAGTCCTTATACCGAAAAAATTCACCTTATTTATTGAATGACCTCGAATATATATATATATATATATATATATATATATATATATATATATGTGTGTGTGTGTGTGTGTAGTGGTGGTCTGTTGAAAAACCTTGGGTATTTCGGCTTGTAGTTGAACAAACCAATACCCAAGGAAAAAATGAGGAATAAAAAAGAAAAAAGAACTAAGAACATGAAATTGAGGCGAAAACAATCGTCCAGAATTCAAGCTCAGAGTCCAAAAAAAAAAAACTCGAAAATGAGTAATAGAAAAAGTAACTACGTTAAGTGCTCAATACACGAAGCAGAGCAAACCTAATCTAAACCTAAAGAGCCAGGTAAGCCTACCTAGGTTTCACCTTAGCAGATCATCAGGTAAAACTGACGATCCTATATATATATATATATATATATATATATATATATATATATATACTATTTTTAAAAAAATATGATTCCTTTTACATAAAGTTCTCATGTTTCAAAAAAGAGCTTTGAAAACCTTAATATAATTATTAAAATTAAATTTAAATTTAATAATTAAATTAAGGTTTTGGCTCTTTGTTTTTGAAACATGAGAACTCATATGTAGCGAAGGAATCATATTTTTTAAAATAATTATAATTTAAACTCTACTTCTGTATGGAGCACTGTTTTTTTTTTTAAATATAAAAACAAAAAAATATTAACGAACTCCGGATTATTTACCTAACGAGTTCTTTTTTTTCCTATTTTTCTACATATCTGCACATATGCATAACACACACACATATATATATATATATATATATATATATATATATATATATATATATATATAATAAGCAAGTAAGAGGAAGGGAGTTCCACTGCCGGGAAGCGCGAGACATGAATCTATTGGAGTAGTAAAGGCGGTTACATTTATCTCTTTCGACAGTAAAAGGGTTGGACCACGATATCAACCTAGGCTTACGATGAAATTCATGCAGGCGGTCAACCAGTGAAAATAGCTCGTCAGAACAGATGCCATGAAAATATTTAGAGAAAAGACACAGGGGAGACACATTATGTCGATGAGAAAGTGACTGAAGACGAAACCCAAAGTCAGGACCAATCAAATTGCATATTTGTCTTTGGATTTGGTTGAGAACCTAGAGATGAACTGTCGGGACACCAGACCATATATGGCAATGGGCGAATGGTAGATTTGAAGGATGAACGCAGGCGAGAAAAACCTTTTATAATTTTCTGTTGTTTTCACGCTTATATTTTTCTCACATTCTCCATTACGTATTTTATTGCCTTCTTTGATGTGAAATGATTAAATGATTAATATATATATATATATATATATATATATATATATATATATATATATATATATAGGTAACTAT